TTAAAAAAAAAAAAAAAAAAAAAAAAAAAAAAAAAACACGTGCTCTGCAATTATCGTATATTGGAAGCAAAGGTTGAATATTGTTCTCAGAGTTGCGTTTCATATCTGCATAATGCGAGAGAATTCATAGGAATGTGAGCACTTGCATTGTAATGCTTTATACAGAATTCACAAAAATAATATTCGTACGTATCCCTCTCGCTGTCTCTATAATATGACCATTATAAACAAAATAATTACATATATAATGTATAATTTTATTATTGCAGAAGCTTTGTAGGAGTCATCACTTAGAAATTGGAAAATTACCATGCAACATTTACTTTTCAAGAATAAATACTTATTTATATCATTTTCTTTAAAAATACAATTCTAATGGTTATTTTTTTCCCATTTAAACGATTAAGATCAAGCTTACCAAACATTCTTTATTCTATGTGCCAAAAAATAAAAATTTATTCTTTTATTTTTTTTATACTGTCATCCTTATACATATTCATAAAAAAATTCATTTGTAAATTAAAAAAAAATAATTTACCAATTCTATATACTTCGTGATTGCCCGTACTCGCGAGAGGTGCTAATGGCTGGCGGGATCAGTACGGGGTGGTTCTTCTTGGAGAGGGATTGTTTTCAGTGGCTAAAGGAGATTATTCTGCATACGGATGTTATTAAGCTATCCATCACCTTGTGGTGGGTTTGGCAGTTTAGAAATAACATGTTGTTCAACGGCGAACTTTGGACAATTTCGGCAGTCTGTAGGAAGGTGACACTGTCTACGGTGGAGAATAGTGTGTATAATGCTAAGAGGCGCTTGTGGTCGGAGCAACCTTTATGAAGACCTCCGAAGCATTCGTGGGTCAAACTTAACACGGACGGGAGTTGGTTGAGGGACATTGCGGCTATGGGGCTGGGTGGAGTAATTCGTGACTGTGCAGGTATGTGGCGGGGTGGATTCTCACGTGGAGCGTTGACTGGGGATGCGTTACGTGCTGAACTGTTGGCTTTGGAGGCTGGCTTATCGCTTTGCTGGGAAGGTGGGTTTCGGAAGGTGAGTTGCGAATGTGATTGCCTGGAAGCTGTTATGCCGTTTCAAGATCGGTCAACGAATATGGACTACTTGCACAACCATTATGATGTTATTCGTCGTATTAGGTGCATGCTAGCCCGGGACTGGGTAGTTTACGTTAATCTTATCCCTAGAGAGATAAACTCAGTAGCCCATACGCTTGCCAACTGGGGGGTACGGAACACGAGTTCCAATGTAGTTTGGAGGAGTCCTCCTGATTTTATCATGTTTCCGCTTGGAAGAGACTCTATGTCTTGATTTGTCTGGTGTTTTTACTTTCATTCTTTACCAAAAAAAAAAAGAAAAATACCCACTCCCGTCTTTTTCGCATTGTTGCACAGGAAATACCACCCGTACGTTTTCCATGAATAGAAACATTAATTCTTTAAGAACGTATTTTAATGCTTCCTTTATTTTAAAGTTAGATAGATTTAATTTTAATAACATTAATTTATACTTTTGAATAAAAATATGTTAAATTAATAAAATATACATGGTATAATAGAAGGAATTAACGGGCACCAAATTGGGTAGAAAAAAAAAGTCAAAAACACAAGTACACTAATAACTAGGGATGGCAAAACGGGTCAGTCCGGCCCGTTTTGACCCGGCCCGTCATTAGCCGGCCAAAAACGGGCCAGGCTGCCAATGTAAAACGAACTGGAGATGCTGGTGCACCCTGTCTAAGGATGGGCTGGCGGGTTGGCGGGCCAGCCCGCATACAAAAATAAAAATTTAAAAAATGGAAAAAAAATATATATTTTATGTTCAAATAAATTTTTTTTGCTACAAATAAATAAATATAACCATATGAAATTAAGGGGGGTGTATTGGATTAAGATTTTAAAATACTTTTTTAGTTAAAAAAAATCCTGCGGATTTTAAAAGACTTTGCAGGATTTTCATGACTTTTAAGATTTTGCAGGATTTTACAAGACTTAAAATCATGATTTTAATGGATTCTGCAAGACTTTTAAATCATGATTTTAATGGATTCTGTGGGATTTTGTAGAATTTTCATGGATTTTTGACATTTGATAAGATTTCAAAAAAAAATTTCACACATTCAAATTTAAAAAGAGTCAAAGACAAAAATAATAAAAAATAATAATGTCTAGATAAATAATAATAATAATTCTCAATAATATCTTATCCTCTTAAATAGCATTCACCCACATATTCATAGCTATACTAGTCCTCCAAGCATTAGCGTCTTTTCGCTCTTGCTCCTAGGTTTGAATAATAGGTTCAAAAGTATGATCTTCATTAATTGGTAACGTTGAAGATGAAGGTTCATCCACCGCTTCAATTAGAAATTCATCAAAACGACATTCTTTACGTAAAAATTTATGTAGTGCTGCACATACTAACACAAGTTCTACTTGTGTCTTAAATAAAAATGGAGGTGCTGACTTAAAAATTGTGAACCTTGATTTAAAAATACCAAATATTTTCTCGATCACATTCCTTAAAGACGCATGACGAAGATTGAACAATTCTTTCTCATTTTCAGGGTCATTACCCTAGCCTGCAAAAGTTTGTAGATGATATCTTACACCTCGAAATGAAGCTAAAAATTGGCGCCGATTAGGAAATTCACAATCCACCAAAAAAATATTTACCTAATTACATATGCAATATATATAATATTAGTATAATAATAATTATTATTTAAAGAATAAGCATTTAGATATATAGAATATATATATATATATATATGTATGTATATATTATTTTAGTTATATATTATATGATAATTTTTAACGATATTTATAAATGTAAATTATTCTAACAAATATTTTAACAATATTTCCTCTTTTAAAAAATAAGCTAATGAAGACATAAATCCTAAATCCTAAAAAATTAGATACTACAATGTCTTATGTTAATTTTTTTTTAAAATATAAAAAAGTCCTAATTTCACAATATAAAAATAAAAAGAAAAATTCATAGTAAAAAAAATAAAATAATTGTTGAGTCATAAAAGGAGGGGATAAGAGTAACAAACTTAAGGAAAAGAGATAAATCGCAGTTTTTATGCTGAGAGAGATCTTCCCCCAACTAAGATCCATTTTTATCTCATTATACTCACAGAAACCTAACAAATTCATCTTATATATATATATTGTAGAGATTATGATATCAATTTCGTCTTTTACTTTTTTCTTTTCTTGACGTGTGTTATAAAAAAAATTACCACTTAAAAGTTAAAATTTCAAGCACTTTTTTGTATTATATAAAGGAACAAATTCAACTACATAGAATAAAATAGAGTAAGTCAATTAAAGAGAACGAACAGAAAAATAGAGCAAATTAATGACACTATCATTTACATATCGAAGTTTTACAAAATAGGGGAATGAGATGAGAACAGTACAACAATATTATATATGAGCAATGAACAATAGTGCAGTATTATTAGTAGAGAAAAAATGGAGGAGACAGGAGCATAGAAAAAAAAAATAAAAAACTCACTTGAAAATTCTTGAAAAGTCACTTCAAACAATCCTTCAAAATCTGATGGGTTTGGATGAGATTGTTTTATGAATTTGGTATTTATTGATAACACTAGAAAGTCCTTCAAAATCCCTCTCACACAACAATCCTTTAAAATCCTTATATTTTTGAATACCAATGGATTATTTTTAAGTTGTAAAAAATCTTAAATGAATACCAATGGATTTTAATGGACTCTTTAAAAAATCTTGAAAATTCAGATTGAATACCACTGGATTGTTTTTAAGTGACATAAAATCCTGATTGAATACCAATGGATTTTTTTACTCAAAAAAAGTCTTTTAAAATCCTACAAAATCCTAAACCAATACACCCCCCTAAAAATACATACATATTGTACATAATATATGTTCAACAAAAGAAAATTACAATCTTAGAACAAAATCAAATAGAAATTAGTCCACTTACACCAAAATTAAAACCAAATTATAAACTTACAAATTACTTATAAACTAAATTTTTTGATAGTCCACAAAACAAGTTCAAATACAATTAATTAACTTTGAATTTTTATTTTAAGAATATTAAAAGCTTTCTTGGAAGAAATTGTCTCTACTTTTTTTTTATCATCTTCTATATCAAAATAAAATAAACATAAAAATAATTAAATTAAAAAAATATATATATGCGGGTCGACTGATTATGGTGGATCGGCCCGCTATTTGACCCGACAAATTGACAAGCTTGACAAGATAAGCTTGACAAGTTGGCAGGTTAAAATGATAGACCAACGGGCCAGCCCTCGGACCACGGCCCACGGCCCACTTTACCATCTCTACTAATAACGGTAGAAACTAAAGTAGGAATTTCAAATGTTTCATTGTAGAATGTGGGGACACAACCCAAGCATGATGAAAGTGAAGTAAATGCTAAATACTAGAACCGAGATTCATTGTTTGTAGTAGAGTTTAGAGTTTAGAGAGAATGATTAATTGCCACGTAGGCGAATCCAGGCAGGTACCGCGCCGACGAAATCACTGAACCTAATTCTGCTTAGAGAATGAGAGGTTGAGAAGAGCCTACACCTACTTTATTTATCACAAACAAAGAACTCATTCCTCTCTCCAAATTCACCACCAATTTTAATTAATCATTATTATTATTATTATGCCTTTCATACTTCTTACCCAAACATACACATAACTTTCCAACCTTTTCCTTTTTTCTTAACCTTATTATAATAACAATTAATTATTGTTATTACCACTCTCAACTCTAAAGGTGGTTCATGTTAAGGGCATGTTTGGGGTTGAACTACCATGGTAGAATGGAGGAACTGCCAGGGGCGTTTGGAAGCAGCGCCAGTTTGGCTCTCAGATTGGGCCAAACAGTCTTCTCCACTGCTTCCCTTCTCTTCATGTGTTTGGATGTTGATTTCTACGGCTACACCGCTTTCTGGTATTTTTCTCTCGTTCTCAATTTCAACTGCCCAATTCTGGCTCTTTCTTATTTTGTCACTGCTCCTCCAAATTTTATGCCTTTTCTCTATTTTGCCTTGCCCCATCATTTTGTTTTTTTTTTTTTTGAAGGGAAATTTATAAGTAGAAATTGATTTGGGGGGTCCTATGTTTTGTGAGTTGTTGAAATTTTGGGTGGAATTAGTTTGGGGACCATGTAGTTGTTTTGTCTGAATTGTTGCAGAAATCAAAGTGATGGAGGATTTGTGTGAGTTTGTGGTGGGTGTCAGAGAGTGGTGTACTGTGTGGGCAGGAGAGAGAAGGGAAGTGGATTGGGGAAGAAAGTAAATCATATTGGATGGCCTATTCAATCAATTTGTTAGAGGCTGCACACATTCATACAATTGAGTGCTTTCTAAGTTGATAATACAAATGATAGCGGTTTCTATCTCTTAATCAAGTTGTTCAGAGTTACTATGTTGTGAGAAAAGTATCCATCTTGATGGTCCCTAGTAAAGATTAGTCGTAGATACTCCATAGTACTACCGTAACCAAAAAAAAAAAAAAAAATGCTAAGGAAAAGGAAATACATTTTTCCATTTTGGAATGTTGAGTCTGTGTTAGTGTGCTGCTGATCCATTTTTTTCTTCTTCGCACTTTTAGCAATGAAATACCTTTATGACACTACGAAACAATAAGTACTACTATAAGGTTCTGGTTTCTGGTCTCGGAAAGTTCACATATTTATTGGTGAAGAGAAATCAGATTGAATTGGCCTGTTAGTTATATTGTGTGTGATGTTGCTGCCCAAAGTGCTGGAGAAAGTTTATACATTTTTGGCATTTCAGTAGAAAAAAGGAAAATGAATTATTTCAAGTTTTTCTTGAACCGAATCCTTTTGGTTATTGAGTTGCTGGCACTGTTTCTCTAGTTTTCACTTCAGTGTTCCTTTTTCTAATTAAATTAGCCATATAAGGCAATTTCACATGGAATGTGGACTTGTTGGTACGTTAACTATGATGCTGGACTAAAAGCTCTAGATTTTTACTTCAACATGGTTTGATTGTGATAAGAGGATATATTTCTTTGTGAAGAGTTTGTTTCTATAGCAAGTTTGTGGTCTAATAAAACTTACACAAGGTAAAATATTTGGGTATATGCATGTTTTTCCAGTTTCAAAAGTTGCATTGGCAATGTGTTGGTGTTTATCCTGTCAAGGTTATCTTCTACGCATATGTTTCACTTGAAAATCTTTAACTTCGTCTTTATTTATGCTATTCCACAGCTACTTGGTAACCGTCATGGGTTTGGTAATTCCCTGGAGCCTAACACTGTTGGTTGTAGATGCATACTCTGTCTTTATAAAATGTTTACCACTTCAACGAAGACTCGTAATGATCATATTTTTGGGAGACATGGTATGTGCAATTGGTGACCTAAAAATCTTCAACTCCTTGTTTCCATACTATACTAATGCACTAATGATATTACAGTTTTTCTACACCCCAGATTTTGTCATATCTCTCATTAGCTGCAGCATGTTCAACAGCCAGTGTCACAGATCTCTTGCTTGATGCTGATAGATCCTATTGCCCCGCAAAGTTATGTGGTAGATATCAATTATCTGCTGCCATGGCCTTCTTGTCTTGGTTTCTTTCATCAGCATCATGTCTGTTTAACTTCTGGCTTGTCCCTTCTTTGTAAAATATATCTTGCTTGCAGTTGACATGTACACGAATGAAAAAGGCACAAATGACGAAGTCATTTGCTCTTGTGCAGATATTTTTTGTTTCCATGTGAATAAAATTATCATAACTATAGCCAACAATGTAATAATGCTTTTCCCCTGCAAGAGAAATACGAAAATTCCATGTCTTGGTTCTCAATGCTTCCTTCTCTTTGTTGTCCATATTAAGCTAGTGCTAGTTATCAAATATGAACCCCAATATCTCATTTAAATGTCATCCCATAATTTGATTATTGTTTAAATATATGTTAAACTATTCATTTCAATCATTTGGTTCCTATAGTTGTGCTCATTTAAAATTTTAATGCATATATGAGAAAAATGTAAGTTTTAGTCCCTTCACAATTTTTTGTAATAGTTTATGACTGCCAGAAAGTTTTATCTGGTGTTATTCCCATGGACTAAAACGTATCTAGTTATCTTTTATGTATGTATAGGGACTAAAACTTAGTATTTTTTCATATAGGGAATAAAACTTAAAGGGAACAACTATAGGACCAAATAAATAGTTTAACCTCAAGTATATATACTTCAAGTTTATATTCCTGCGAGTTTTGATGCATGATGCTAAGTTATCACAGAAGAGACTTGGGAAACTCATCGAAATGGAATATGGAAGTGAGGTAACCCTTGATTCAAGCTTTGGCACCTTCAAAACCAAAGAGAAATTGATCAAAAACATCGGTCATGCTTTTCATTTGTTACACACACACATATATATGGAGGCTACAGAAGGCTCTAGCTAGTCTGTGTACAATGCAAGAAATGCTAAAAACTATGCGCACAGTCTCACACTTTGTCAGTGACATTCTCTAATTTCCCTTATGCACGCATTCTCATTCTCTTCTTGCATCATATATGCACTAATTCATTCCTGTAAGAATTGAACCTGGTTAGCAAGCCTTGGTGCAAAGTATACATAACAAAACTCTGAATAAGTGTGCGGCTGTTACTTGCAACACAAAGTCTTCTAATCCTGGTTAAGTACAAATTGTTGTGCAACTTTTATCTTTATGTGACAAATTGTGACTGTCCTATCTTTTGGAGCAGTGTTGATGGAGTGAATAGTGATTGATAAAAAGATCAGATTGGGGTGAATGATAGAAGGGAAAGAATTTTTCTGTTATTTATATCATATGCATGATGTTATTGTTAACAAGGTGTGTAGGAAGGGATGGGATGGGTTATGAAGTTAAAATTTCAAGATAATTCTTATATATTATGTTTCAACATATAAGTAGAAATTCGTTAATAATGTACTATAAAAGAATAGTGGAGCACAGCGACCCTGGGACGCTATGTGATTCAAATAGTGAAGTGGTTTTTCTGTGTGCTATAGTGGCGCTACTGTGATATAGGCTTCAAGTATTCCACAAAAAAGTTACATGTTTTGTCTTCTGTTTCTTTACATATTATAAGAATAAGACTGTTTCTTATCTTCTATTCCATTTTTCTTCTTCCTTTATTTTCACTCCATTCACACTAAGCTATTTCTTTTTATCCAAATCGCTATATTCTTTTTACATTAATTTCACGATCATCTTTCAGTATTTGACGGTGATTATGTGTGTAAATTGTGTCTTATTATTTGTCAGAATTTTCATAAGGGTCTTGCTGCACTGGTTAAAGAATCAATATACAGAACTTGTTATTAAAAAATACATTAAGTAGTTATTCTATTCAATAATTAGTTTGTATTACAATATGTAGACAGCTTTCAAAATTAGCCTTTACCTATCGCTATATCCAAAATTGATTCTGTTCCGGTATGCCTAAAAGTCCCACATCGCTTAGGAGTCGAGGCTAAGGGTAGTTTATAAACACCATTCCTCCTTAACCCACCGAGGCGCCTTTTCAAGGACAAAACCGTGACAGCCAACGAGCGCCAAAGCGGACAATACCTCGGATGCGGTGACCCTAACGATGACAGCGGACTTACGATAGGAACATTGGCGCTAGAAGGAGGGCCCAGGCCACTCTTGCCCCTTAGCATCGACTTGGGGGCTTGTTCCGGTATTGCCTAAAAGTCCCACATTGCTTAGGAGTCGAGGCTAAGGGTAGTTTATAAACACCCTTCCTTCTTAACCCACCGAGGCGCCTTTTCAAGGACAAAACCGTAACGGCCCAACAAGCGCCAAAGCGGACAATACCTCGGATGCGGTGACCCTAACGATGACAGCGGACTTACGGTAGGGTGTATGTTGGTGAATTCGTTAAATCAGATTTTAGTTGACCTTAAAACGCGTTTTCGGCGCTAAGGATATATGTTGGTGAAGCCGTTAAATCGGATTTTAGTCAACCTTAAAACGCGTTAGCCGGTCAAAGGATAATGCTCGGAAAAGATTCCTATGGTAGAAAGGGAGTAATCATTGAAAAATTGTTGATGGGGGAGGGGTTAGGCTTTTTGGCCAGACTAAATTAAAAAATAAAAATAAAAACTCCAAAAATAAATAATTTTAAAATGCAAAGAAAATACTTAGGGATAAGCTTTTTTTACATCTCGTGCTGCTGTGTCCAAAACTATTTATTTTGGTAATTATTTTTAAAATTATTTATTTTTATATATATTTTTTAATTTAGTCTGGTGGGGTTATGGAAACCCCTGTTCATCCTACGGATTCCTAACAGTCTACTTTACATATCAACCATTTAATATCTTTCCTTTCGGTGACAGAATATAAAAAATTTTCTCCGTACATAACAAGGCATACATTTTAGTAATAACAAAACAAGAGTAAGCCCAACTTCAAGGGCAAAGTTGCTCGAAACTCGCTTTTATTGTGTCCACTAGTTATAACAAAATTAATGCTCTTGGAATAAAATAGTTATAAGAAAAGGTCACTACTATGTGTATATCTGTTGGAAACTGAAGCCGAACCACACTACTATTTTATCTCTGTATTCTTTGTTAGATAATGTCAGCAAGGTTCCTCGACATCTTCCAAATCTAATACTGTGAAGTGTTTCCCTTTCGCAACTTGGCATGCATAGAATACATAAAAATTTCCTAAATGAAAGCTACAATTTCTTTAATGTAATATATTTTAACACTTATGTTTATTGTTAGATAAAATGTCACGCAAGTTTCACTAAATAATTTGAGTCTATTATCTATAAGTAGGGCTAGCTAGAGAGTTCATTTAATAAAGAAAGACTTTTGAAAGAGAGTATCGAACATGTTTATTCTCATCAAGGAAAAACTCACCATGTCCCAACCTCTTTACATAAGCTAATTAAACACCTCACTTAGCTTCCAAATTACGATTCAAACTCTTATCCATCGACCATTATCTATGCCATCTTCATATGATTTATTCATAATGAATCTATAGGTATCATTTACTTATTTCAAAAGTAAATTTATTTATATTTATTCTATTCCGTAATTTATGTTATATATCAAATTTTAATTATCTAACAATTGATTAAATTTTTTTAATGTAAATTAAATCTACAATTTTTTTTTAAAATTAAAAATTATTTGATACTCTGTTTCATTAATTAAATTAATATATAAAATATTTTTATGATTTTCCGTCAATTTAGATTAATGAAACAAAATATCATATAGTTTTCAAATTTTTAAAAAATTTATAGATTTGATCTATTCATTAAATTTTTTTATTTTAATAGTTAAATTATTGAAATTTGATATAAAATATGAATTATTAAGTGAAATAAGTCTAAATAAATTTATTTTTGGAATGAATGCAACCCTCCTTGTAAATCAATGATTATTCCAATCATGACATGCCCTTCCTTCAACATTCATACAATGGTCAAGTTAAGCGGAAAATTCATTCCTTCTTATGGAGAGGCCCTACGTGATGATAATCTTGCTCAATAATGGAGATAATAATCTTTTAGCAATGATGTATCTAGGCTAAATGAAATGGATTTTGAATCAAATTAGTTTTTGGGAGCAAATAATCTTCCCCACCAACCGGCAATAACACATTGAACATAATAATATATTATGTACTTAAGACATCCAAACAAACAAAAGTTGAAAACCTTATCTATGTAATCAGTGTATTAGATTTTCAAGCCTCTTGACGTTTAGAACACAAGGACAATGTATGGTGTTTGGTATATCTTCGACCATATTGGATGTTGATTATAAAGTTGGGCATTGTCATTACCACGAAGCTTCATTTCTCCTCAACAGATACAGAAGATGCACATAATAATAAACCGAATATTTGATCGAATATATTATGCTTCTAATGAACTCCGTTAGACTTGCAAAAAGCATGTACACTAAAAAAAAAAATTGGTATACATTGATTCACATATTTTATAGTGATACAATACATGTTATTAAAAAAAATTATTTATATTATAAATATAATATATGTTGGTATATTATTAAAAAGTGTAAATATATATTATAGTGACACATATTATATATTGTTAAATTTCACTTAAAATTAATACTAAAATTATGTGTAATTATATGTAAAATAGATTTATACATACATATATTATACTTATAGTGATATTTTTTATATAACATTACATATAATATTTCTTGTAAAATTTCTTGTAGTGATAATTGTATAATTAACTAATATTATTGTACTTCTTTTGGTACTCTATGGCTATATATATATTACAACAAAAAAGTGAAATAATAATGATATGCTAAGAGTATCTCCAACGTTGGGTCCTTAGTCAATTCTTAAGCTTAAGCTTTCATTACTTATAAGAAACCTACATTGAAGCATGCTGACATGACATACTAAATTGTTAAAATTTAAGCACTGTTCATTATATAAGAGATAGTTGCTTAAGAATAAAAAAATAATTTAATGTATCCTTCCTTCACCAACTTTCTTCTATACAAAAAAAACAGGAGCAAAAATATAAGCATCAAACCCTCCTTCATCAAGTTCCTTATGTTAGAAATATAAATTTAATAGAACACAAAAAATATATTTAGATTTTCCAATAAAACCAATATCAACAACACAATGAGTACCAAAAATTAAAAGCAAAATAATCAGTAACAACTAATTAAACACAAAGAGCAACCTAGAATATTAAATAATAAGTTTAGAGTAGCCTGAGTTGAAGCACGCAGAGCGCTATCCTTAGAGAGAAAACGTCTCCATTGCACTGGTAATTTAGAGTCTTATAGTGCGC